CGGAACCTTCATTGACAGCATGCATTGTTGCACAGACATCATCCACAATGGACATTATTCCAGGAGGGGAAGTCTTGTTCTCGATGAGATCACACACTATTTTATTATTGAAGTATTCTATTGGATTCCATTTAATACCCTCCTGTACATACTCTTCCTGAAACAGATATTATTACTCAAATTACTTCTGGAAAAATAATCACATTTAAACTAAAAATGTTTATATCAAACTTAGTAAAAATAATGAACACAAAAGATATGTAGAGTACGAGCTAAGAATTAGAAATTATTAGCCAGAAAATTATCCAAATTTCAAAAGCATTCGCTATGCAAATCTTAACAACTTTTTAAGAAAATTTTTTTGCCATAGAATTACTTAAAGGGGTTTTTAATCTGTATTTTATGGTAGTTTGTTTCAGGCTTATATTATTTGGACCCAATAATAATTGATTACGCAGCGCATCTACCACAAAGTACTGTAATTGAATAAAAAATACTGATTTGTTCAGAAAAATTCATTTTGACGTTATCTTGAGGATTGAATTATATATTTTTCTTTCCAGTGGAAAATATCATTCGCCAAAACACAATTTTATACGCCAAATTTACCATTTTATCACATTTGACAAGGTGGAGAAGGCTTAATGTGGGCCATATGTCATGTTAATATGCAAAATTATGATTAATAAGTAACAACAGAATAATTTAAATTCTTAATTATAATTAATAAAAAAATGTTCCAAATTTAATTGTTCATTAAATACAATATAATTGTGTATCATTTTTCTATCACCTGGAAAGAATCATCCTCTACATGATAAATATATTTTTTAAATTTTTTTATTTATTAAATAAATTTAATTTGTTGTCTTGTTCTTTTAAAGTTAAGTGATGTAATTAGAGAGCATGAAAATTATGAGTTAGCATGCTATAAAAATAAGGAATTTAAATATTTAAACTAAGAAGTCTCATAAATAGAATTTTAAATATCTGACTTTTTTACCATTCGATTTTTCAGGAACTATTCAATTAATTTCTCGTCAAATTTTGCATTTTTCAATATAATAACTTTCCTTTAAAATGATGATTTTAAATGAAACTAAGCAATTCAAAATTTAAGGAAAATTGATAAATAAAGTAACAAATAATTATTGAAAGTTATTTTTTGCAGGGAATAATTTTTAGAGAAGTGTATTTTATAATTGTGTGCTAACATTTCATTTTGCTCAAAAAGTTTTCAAGGTATGGCAAATTATATAAAAAGTACAATTAACATTACGGGGTCCAAACTATTGACAGCTCTCCTGACCAAACTATTGGGATCATTTTTCATAATTTGAGGCAATCTCCTGTACTTTGAGGAGAATCACAATCCGTTGAAAAAAAGGTATGTTTATCTAGGGAAAGTATGTTTTTGTTTATTTGGGGTTTTTCCAATTGTATATGTATCAGAATTTGGAAAACACAATTCTCTTAAATATTAACAATGAAATCAATCTAAAATGTTATACAAATGGGCTACAAATAAAATCAAAGCTACTATACCTGTTCAGCTTTTAGTGTTAATTCTATAAATATCTGCTGTAATTTTTCATTTACATAGTTGATGCAAAATTGTTCAAACCCATTTTTCTGGAAGATTTCAAATCCATAGATATCCAGAATTCCAACAGTTAGTTCAGTCATTGGAGTTTTCATTGCAGAATTTACAACCTGAGAATCAGGTACAAAATTATTAATATGGCAACACTAAAAAGCACTTTTAAACAAAATCTTCAAAATGCTGAAATTTATAATTTTAACTACAGTGAAACCTCCAGGAAAGACCACCCTTTTGTAGTGACCTCCTCTATTTACGATCACTTTTGGGATGCACAGATGCATTTTTTCTTTAGACTTTGTGTTGAAAATCTTGGAAGAGACCATCAAAATCTCCCCCAGCAACTGGGCTATCTTCTGCAGCAAATGTGAAAAAGGTCAAATACACAAAAAATATTACCAAAACAAATAAGTAGATTCAAATGCAATCAAAATATTTGTGTCAGATTCTTATTTAGAGAGGTCTTTTTGATGCTTTCGGAGAGAGATTGACAACCTTATGTTGCAGTCAGAGTGCACTAAAGACGATAATATCTATGATTTATTTTTAGATTTGAAAGTTAAATTAGAAATAAAAAGTTATTTTAGAAAAAACTAAGTATAACAAGCAAACAAACCTGTTCTCATTTTTTAAAGTTGACTCATTTTTATGATATAAAATTTAACGTAAACTTAAAACAAAAAACATAATTGTTTATTTATTTAAAATAGTTCTA